TAGTTGTTAGCTGAAGCCAAAGCAATCATGGTCGCTTTTGTTTGTATTCCACGAAAGACAACCCTTTCACACATGAATTTGATACAAGTATCGGTCAGTAAATGTTACAAGATTCATTATTGCAGCACATCTCTCAACAATTCGGATTACGAAGAATAAACAGTTTCGTAACATGATATCAAAGCTTTCGATAACCAAAATGTCTTTTGGGTTCGTGTTGACATAACATCATGATGTCAAATTATCTTTTGTCGATCAGAGGTTATTGGCTGGAATCCAATGAAGCTCCCCCATTAAAATAACCAGCCAAAGATCCTCTGCTTTCTGCCTCTTTGTCCTGTGTGGTCGTTGTGAGTTTGGCCGGAGCTCGTGCTGGTCATGTCACGTGGCGCCACCACTAGTACTCCCGTTCTGTCGTCGTTCGTCGTCCCTGTCGCTGTTGTCCTGGTCTGGGAAAAGCAAAGGAAATGAAGAAACGGCGAGTTTCTTTCATATTCGGCGAGCTCTGTTGTTTTCTCATTGTATTTTATCCTTTGGTTCACGACCAGCCGAAAGCTGTCACTGTAGTTAGATTTGATTACGGAAAAGCTTTGTCTGGTGGTGATAGTGAGGCTTTTTGGTGTCGAGTAGCAGCTGAGAGTAGCTGAGTCAACCATTTGGTTCCATTGTTGGAAGAAGACAAACAGGGGGAGAGAGAGGCAGAGGACGGAATCGTTTTGGTGTTGTCTTCTTCCTACTTTGATCAACAAATGGAAATGACTCCACCAACCAAGAAGAAAAACCAGATGAAAATGATGGCTCCTTCTTGATTCTTTTTCCCCCTTCTCTTCTGGGGGTAGAAGACATCTCCAAGATCAAATAACAATAGGTCAAGTAAGTACCACTATTGTGATTTGTCAATTGGATTGTAGTTGTGAATTTGTGTATTGGATTGAGTGGATTTGAGCGGTAATTAATTCTTGGATTATTGGGAAACAAATTGCAATAATGTTGACATGTTTAGCATAGCTAGGAGAAATTCGTTTAATACTGGCATATGTATTGTCTGTGTTTAGAAGTGACATTTTCGAACTTTTTAAAAATGTATCGTTATGTCAAAATGGTATGTAAAACTCCGTATGCATTAACATCATGACGTACACACCGTAATTTATCAATTCACGTAGTTAAACATATATAATGTCTTTAATGATCACGAGACTCGGTAATGGAAGCAACAAATACTGCAACCAAAAAAGGATGACAACGGGTCGAATCAAGAATATGTATAGTGCTGACCATCCATTACACGTACCCTAAGTCCTAACTAGTTCGGGTTTAGTTCATATTCATATTCGGGCAAGATTCAAGTAGAGAATCAAACCATGTCCATACCCAATTGAGTTTTGCATATCCATAGATATCCATGAATAATATTTTTAATTAATCTTCTCAAATATGTGTTAATAATCATAATTATATTATTAACATACATAAGTGAACAAATTATAAATAATAAATCACGATAAATAGTAAAAGAAGGAATATTAGTCCATGAGATGCTATAAATATACTAGGAATAGCAAATATCTTAAAATGAAAATGACAATTTATACAAAATGTTGCGAATATATGTATAATCGGACAGGTTTGGATTGAATAGTAAGAGAATCATATTCATCTATTATCCGTACTATTTGGGTTTACAATTATGACATACCATGGTATTTTATTTTCCATTGGATTTAGTCCTACCCAATCGTATCTATAATTCGTGCGGGTATTAAGAATTATAGGTACTTTTGCCTTCATGCAGCCAAAAAGCCCATGTACGTTACCAGGTTAACTAAAAGAAGTAGCAGATAGCCCGGAGCCCGTCCATTTCTAACACGAATTGACGAAGGCCTAAAAGCCCAATTAAGGAACCAAAATTAGAAATGGAAGCCCAAGTATTGGGCTAATGGACGAAAAGGTGAAGAAGGCTTCTCGGTTTTAAAGCCTTCAAATTTTCGTCTCACGACAGGAGACGGGAATTGGGCTCATGGGCTGTAATTCAATCCTCCATACACGACCCCGCCATATCATATACGAACCTAGAGAGAGATGGGTGTCAGAACAGAAGCGTGGCAATCGATAATCCAAACCAACACAAACGAACACAAATTTAACGTGGTGTACTAACACAACGTGTGCTAGCTAATCCACGGGCAAGGGAGAACAAATTTCACTGATTTTGAGGAGAGTACATGTTACAAACCAAATTCCAAACGGACAAACCAAGCAAACTAACCTGACTGACCTTACTACAGATTAGGGTGGTGAAGAGTATTTATAGAACTCTTCTCCTAATCCCAAACAGAAAACCAAACACCTTTTCCAAACATACAAGAAAAAGGTCAAACACAAACCCAAACAAAATAGACCCAAAACACCAAACAAACCCAAATCAAATTCAAGTCATATCCTAACAATGGGAACGCCGGAGGTGGCGGATGTGTTGCTCGACAAAGGGCTCGCGCCGGCTGGATGGTGGAGACAGTGCTGACGGCGACGAGGGAGATCACTTCATCATGCATGAGTCTACGTAAAGGAACTCATGCATAAATAATGGTCGAATTGAAGGAGTTGGTGGACGTACGTATCCTAATAAAGCTGGAATCTCCTAGGATGACGGGTTTAGAACGAGAAAACGGACACAAGTGGAGAAATGAAGATTCACGAGTGCTTGCGTAGCCATTACACCAAGCCAAATATAAATTAGGAGAAAGGGGATTACGTATTATGATCTTTTCTGGTCATCTATAATCGACTCTCTCTCTCTACACGTTGAGTTATTTTGATTAAATAGTTTTGAAAATTTGATCATGGGAGGTACTTCTGTGGCAGCGGGGATTAAGAATGATCGTCGTCTTAACTGGCTTTATTGGGATGGAGAAATATGGATTGAGACATGTCCAGAGAAGAATTTTGGATATGTTTTTGAAGAGCGATGATAAGGTTAATAAAGACAATATATTCATTCAGTCAAGAGTCCAGAGCCCAGAACAGAAGAATGAATTTTAAATCTCCAAATGTTAATTCAAGTTAGTCGACCTGAAAAAATGAGGCGTGTGTTAATTCAATAAAGACTAGATTGAATTAATACACAATTAATTAAGCTTCCTTATTAATGATACCACCAAGCTATAGATGTCATGTAACAGAAAAGTCTTATTATATCCGTCAGAAATAAAAACCCGATAGAGAGTCTCAATATGAGCGTGATTCAACAGTTTCACACTACGATTACTATGCTAACGGTTATTGAGATGTGTGTTGATCGATTGTTGGACACTTATAGACTTACAGTGACACTATCATACAATCCTTAGTACTTAATAATGTAAAGAGGTGAATAAACAAATGCTCTGTTGATGCTAATGCAAATGCTCCGATTGTATTCGTATAAAATTGGAACGAATGGAGTCCCCATCGTCTTTCCCTGCAAACGTAACGGCGACGGCGGGGAAATGACCCGAAAGAGAAAACTGTGTAGATAAGCTTGGAGTTATCTGTTAGTTTGATCTCCTATTTCACTACATAAAAATAAATTGTAGAATTTCCCGTCCAATTATTGCTTTTGTACTCGTTGCATTTTGTCACATCTTAGATTAATGCAAAGTCGCTGGCTTCAAAATCAAAGAATATGGGTACGTAATTTGGTTTTGTTAAGTAACTAGGATCATCATAACTTCCAATGTATATATTCATTTAACGGTGTTATGAATTCACCTCGAGAAATGTTCGACTAAAAGTTAGTTTACTTATAAACACAAACAACACTAAGTCTGAACTTGTTAGTAATGAGCTGATAATAGATAGACACGTAATATTTGCAATGACCCAACTGCTCAAATAAGTGCTAGATTTCGATCGCGAGATTATCTCAATAATTTATTTGGTGAAACTTGCATCTATATATTTGTTGCTGAAATCTCATCTTAATTGCAAAGTCAATCTTAATATATTGCACAATTCCAAGTACCTTCTATACCTACCATTACCAAAGGTCTTAATCATCAATCATGATTAAGTCCTTCCTCCTTTCTAGGGATGTCAATCCAACCCGTAACCATGGATACCCTACCCGACCGTAACCGGTCAATGAGGGTAATTACCCGCTTTGACGGGTTAAGGGGCGGGTACGGGTAATACCCGGTTTCAAAATAAAGGGTAGGGTACGGGTATGGTAATCGATAATACCCGCTCCGTTATACCCGCCCCGCTAACCAAAGGGTCAATTTCCCTTGAGAAATTTAGATTAGCTTGAGAAATTGAGTTTAGCTACCATTATTGATGATGAAGATGTAGACGATTATTATGTTTATGTGGATTGTAGAAGCAAGAACAATTATTATGTGTTTGCTATTTTTATTTTGTGTGGATTGTTGAAGCTCGAACAGTTACAAGTATTGAGAATTTTTTTTTTATAAAGAAGTATTGAGAATTTTTAATGGACAACAGTATGTATGTGCATATATGTGTATAAGTTCATAGTTTAGGATTCGTACCCATGGTTACCCGAATACCCGTGGTTACCCGGTGGGTATGGTATGGTTATATAATTTTCATACCCGGTGGTTATTTGATCGGGTATTTTAGAAAGCTCTACCCGGCGAGTTAGGAGTTGGTATAGGGTAAACCCGCAACCGACCCTACCCATTGCCATCCCTACTCCTTTCCCCATATCCCATTGGATTAATTAATTAATCATATAATATCTAGAAGCGGCCGGCTGATTAAAGCGGGAGCGGGAAGGATTAAGACTTAAGAGGATGGGACGATGGGTCCCACTTTTTCTACCAGCAAAACCCGCCGACGGGTCCCACCATATTCCCCTCAATTTTCCGATCTTATCCGTTCAAAGGCTCCCAACCCCGGCTCCAGTTCGCCACGTGTCATCCATCGGACGGTTCTCCCACTTCCACCTCTTCCCCACGAACAAAAGCCCAACGCTTCGGCCTCTTCCCCATGCCTCCTCTCCGCCATTGCTATCTCTCGCTCACTTTCTCCCTTTCTCCTCTCCCGACTTCTGATTCCCTGTGACGATCGTATCCTATCACGGCAAATTCGATCGTCGGTCTGTTTTCGTAGGTACTTCCGGGAGGATTCTGGGTTCCTTTCATTTTGTTGGTTAAGTCGAGTGATGATTGCTTTACAAGCGAAGTACAGTGAATTTTCCTTCCTTTTCCCTGTTTTTGTTTTGGGTAATTCCTTCGAGGGATTTTTTCTTGATTACTTCTTCCATTTCTTGTATGGGTTTCTGGATTGTGATCGTTGTGCCTACTGCTTGTTCTTGTTTGGAGCTTTTCCGAGTGTTTTCTTAGCTGGGATTGGGGTTTTGATGAGTGGAGACTGTTTGGTGATTGAGCTGCAGTTCGGTTTTTTTTTATTCTTCCGGTTCAGAGACTGGTCTATAAACAAAAGGGTTCGAGTTTGGAATGAGCTTGGCATAAAATGCGACAGCTTTTTCACTGTCTTATCTACTGTATTCTGGAGTTAGGCAAACGGCAGTTGTTTGGCTTTTTCAGCTTCCTAATCAGTGATCGCGCTTCCTCTTTTGCGGGTTTAAGTGGGTTTTGCTTTTGCGTAAGAAAGATCGCAACTTTCGTTGTTTCTTTTAAGCTAATACTTTACAAGTATTACAAGTTACCTAAACCCGCCTTCATGTTTCTTGGCAGCTGATATATCCCCCAACTAAGTGTTAGCTTCCTTTGTGGTTGCGCAAAAGAAACATGGTTTGCATTTGACTAGGACACTTACTGTGTGTCGTGTTGACGACTCTGTTTTAGATACAGGAGCTTACTCAATTATGCTGTTTCTCACCCTTTTTCTTTATTCCATTCTGCAGTGGCTTTGTTCATCTAGTGTCAGAATGACATTACTTGTATAGCTTGCTCTTCAGTCGGAACCAAAATTTAGAAACATGGGTGGGATTTGTTCAAGGAAGAGAGACCAAGATGTTCTTGGGGGTGGTAGTGCCAGCAGAGTTTCAGGGAGGTATGGTAAAAGTGGGAGTTCGAAATGGCTTCGCAACTCATTTGGTCATGTTGCCGTTGCTGACTGCCAACCAGGAGGAAATTGTCCCTCTTTGATGGAACTATGCATACAACAGATATGCAAGGTTTGCTTCATTTCTGAACTCTCATTGGTTACACATCTTGCCTTATGTCCTTGCCAAAAGAGTGTTGAGTATCTTTAGTTCTCTTAATTCCAACAGGACATTGAAAGATATAAGTCCTTTTCTGTTCTTCCAAGGGATATAAGCCAGCAAATATTTAATGAGTTGGTGTTGACTCATAGTCTCAATGACGATTCTCTTGTAGCATTTCTCGATTGCGCTCTGCAGGTAATCATTTGTAACATACCTTTTCAGAACTAAATTATTTACTTGTGTTGAAGGATGTCTCTAATTGATATTGGTTATTAAATTATCAGGATGTTCATTTAGGTGACTGTCCAGGGGTGAAGGATAGTTGGATGGATGTAATATCTTCACAAGGATCATCTCTACTTTCCTTGGACCTTTCCTATTCGGAAGTCACAGATGCTGCATTGGTTGGTCTGAAAGATTGTTCAAACCTTCAGGAAATGACTCTAAATTATTGTGAAAGTATTACTGAGCATGGCCTGGAACACATAAGTGGTAGTACTCTAACTAATTCATGGAAGTAGTTGTCACTTCAATGAGTTTTTTCTTGCTACGATAACTAATGACTATCTGCCAGTTTGGGTGGCTAATCTTGATGCTGCTCTTCAGGCCTTAACAGCTTAACTTCTTTGAGTTTCAAAAGGAGTAATGCTATTACTGCTGAAGGGATGCAAGCCTTCTCCAACTTGGTTAATTTAGAGAAGTTGGACCTGGAGAGATGCTCCCAGATTCATGGTGGACTTGTTCATCTAAAAGGTATGTTTGTTAAAATGATGCAGATTCAGCTGAATGTCTTGAGCTGAGAAGGGTCTTTCTGGGGGGATTTTGTTTCATTTACCACTTACACGGACCAAGTGTTGTGACATGATTTTCTTCTTTGTATTCTGTTACAGGATTAACAAAACTGGAGTCTCTTAATGTTAGGTGCTGTAAATGCATTACAGATCTGGACATGAAAGCTCTCACTGGTAAGAATTGACTGGGTTAACTGACTTCATTATTAAGAGAAAGCTGAACCAAGTACTGACCTATTTCAAAATGTTAGCTGTTCCACACTTAAGTTTGAATTGAGATGCTAATTTCGTGTTTTATCTGGCCTTTTATATCTATTCTTAGCTGTTACTTTTTGTTTTCTCTATCTCTCAGGTCTCGCTAATCTGAAGGAACTGCAAATATCCAATTGTAACATAACGGATTTTGGAGTTTCCTTATTAAGAGGTATCCAGTTGTTGGACATTAGTTAACCTTCTTTTTTGTCTGTCAACCTGGATAGTGGACGCACTCTGCATTTACCCTGTTTCAGCCACTTCAGCTTCTTGGGCAGCTCCACCTAATACTTGTTGGAGTGCTTTGTTGATGGCTTCCTAGGTTTTACTTTCTTGTATTAAGGTACTACTTAAGGGATTCGAACCTGGGACCTCCAGGTTCTAGGCTAGTGGTATTACCACTAGACCGAACCCTTGTTCGTAATGTGTGAAACACTCTTACCCAGTCCGAATTTGACACATAAAATCCTTCAATCAAGTCAGATAGGGATTGTTTGGTAATTCATTGGTCATCCTATATCAGTTTTCACGGCTGATCTCGCCATTACTTTCCATACATACCCCAGGTTTGGAGAAGATTATCATGCTGAACTTGGAAGGTTGTAATGTGACAACTGAATGTTTGGATTCACTTGCAGGTCAGCTTTCTTTTGATCAGTTCATCTACAACGGTCCTTACAAGTTATTGCATCACCCAGTAGCATCATTTACATTTAGAGAGAAAGGATTTGAAGTTGTAGATTAGTGTTTTTGGCTTTTCTTCGCCGGGAAAATATTGACTTCCTCATGAATTCTATGTAGAAGTCGTATTGATCAACCTTTTCCTTTTGCAGCTCTTGTAAACCTTGCATACTTAAATTTAAGCAGATGTGGGCTATCAGATGAGGGATGTGAGAAGTTTTCTGGTGAGTGAACATGTTTTTATCACAAGATCATGTTGAACTGCTCATTTTAGTAGTGTTTCAACTTTCAACATGGAAGGTGATTGTGTGTAACAAACATGCAGAGCTGAAGAAGCTGAAGGTTTTGAGTTTGGCATTCAACAACATTACAGATGCCGTTTTGGTCCATCTAAAAGGTCCTTGCTCCCCTTCTTTCTCTTACTGAATGCATGACTTTGACCTTTAACATGCTGTGATATCTTGTAAAATCCCACCAAATGTCATTGTCTTATTTGGTTCATCATGAAATTAACTAGTCTGATACCGGAAGAGATTTTATCTGTTCTTTTTCAGGCTTAAAGAACTTAGAGAGCTTAAACCTGGATTCTTGTAAGATTGGTAACGAGGGGCTGGCTAACTTGTCTGGTAGTTATTTTTATCGATGTTTCTTTTTATTTTTTACATTAAAATTTTTCCATGATATTAATGCCTTATCCTCCTTGTGCCTCTCCTCTCAGGACTTCCCCTCAAAAGCATGGAGTTGTCTGATACTGAAGTTGGCAGCAGTGGTCTTCGTCATCTTTCAGGTAGGGCTCTCTATCTCTATACCTTGCCACAACTTAACATTGGTAAAAGCTTTGCAATCAAGTTTAGGGTTGAAAGTATTGGTGTTACCTTCCTGCCGAGTTACACTCATGTTTTTACTATTTCTAGGTTTGAATCAACTGGAGAGCTTAAATCTGTCTTTCACCTTGGTCACCGACGGTGGTCTAAGGAGATTATCTGGGTTGACTTCTCTTAGATCACTCAACCTGGATGCTCGCCAGATTACAGACACTGGTCTTGCCGCTCTTACAGGTAAAGCATTTATTCTACTGGCTTTAATGTGCTTTATGATACACCACTGGTGCGAAGAATTATACTCTAGAACTATTATAGCAATGTGAGACAAGGCAGCATGTTCTGAAGATGTCTAGCTGCAGAAATTATAATGTTCATGCCATTTTCAGTAGCTCCATTATGCCTTTATGGTGCAGGTTTGACCGGTCTGACCCATCTGGACCTATTTGGAGCTCGAATTTCAGATGCTGGAACAAATTATTTGCGACGTATGGATTCTTATTTACTTGCCATTTGTTAAATTCTATCACTTGCCGTTCTCCCACTTCATGCTATTGCTACTTTTCCGAGGAAAATTAAGATCCTTTGTTTCTGCATAATGTTCTTTCTAGTTTCTTACGTTTCAAGGTATTTCTCATTCATGCTTGTAGACTTCAAGAATCTTCAATCCCTGGAAATATGTGGTGGTGGCATAACAGATGCTGGGGTAAAGAACATCAAAGAACTTTCTCACCTAACCGTGCTGAACTTGTCACAGAACAGCAACCTGACAGACAAAACCTTAGAGTTGATCTCTGGTACTTTGTTCTTCTGTAGTCTTGATCTCCATGTCGCAATAACATATATAAGGCGTCCCAAGTAACAAAACTATTGCGGGTTCCCGTTTGAAAATGCAGGGTTGGAGGGTTTAGTGTCGCTGAATATTTCAAATTCTCTGATAACCAACAAGGGTCTGCAGCATTTGAAGCCATTGAAGAATTTACACTCCCTAACCTTGGAGTCCTGTAAGGTGACTGCCTCCGAGATAAGGAAGCTGCAGGTAACTGCACTCCCCAATCTGGTAAGCTTTCGACCGGAGTGAAGAAGCGGGATGTGTACCCTCATAGCGAAAGGGGAAGGAACTACTTGTAAATATAGCTTGGTGATGCTCTCAGCTGATGGTGTTATCCCACGTACAGTCTCTTAATAAGTATACCTACCGCCTCATCTGGCCGAAGGGAAGTTTGAAGGCTAGCAATAGGAAGCAAGCCATGCAGAAAGAAAGCCGTCAAAGTATGTAAATATATTGGCTTTTCTCTGCTTGCTCGAACCATCAAATGAAAGTTGTGCATACATAGCAGTTTTATCAAGTGGCATGAAAATGTTTGCCCTAGTTTCTGTGATTATCAGAACATGGTCGGAGCAGAATGGAACAATATAACATCAACCTGCAGAAAGCACAGCTCGAGAACCTTCATTCCTATGACATTCAGTATGACAAAATTGCAAGTCCCTGAAGTTTCTTCTTCAACAGAAAAAGGATCTACAGCTTCATCACCAGGAGGTTGGGAAACGGAGAAAGCTCCAATTTGGAAAATTCCAAAAACAGCAAACTCACAGAGGTTAAAATTGCTAGTAGACAGGAGCTGATTAGTTAAGCTTAACCCATGGAGTCAAAACTAGGAGAAAACCAGCCGAGTTGGTCAATAATTTGGTCGAGGCGTTCTTGCTGTCCCTTAGAGTCCCCTATGGCGGTGGTGAATGGATAAACAAAGGTCACCTTTGTGGCCACACATCTGTAAGTCACCACATCCCCTTTCACCAGGAATTCCAAAATGTCCCTTGTCCCAAAGAATCCATCCACCTCTGCCTCCAAATACCGCCCTGCATTGCAACCCCATTCATTCCCCCCCAAGATCAAAGAGAGAACTTATTAAGAAACGAAGTCACGATCTTTAGTTTTTACCATAAGGGGTATTTTCAGTGACTCGAATCTTGGGATTCTTCTGGGTCAGCTGGATTGCTTGCTCAAGTTTCTGCCATTAATGAAGAGATGAAAAGAATGAAAACCCAATTTACTGATGTGGAAATGAAGTAATGTGCTTCATCATGAGATCAAGAGCTAACCTTGACTGCGAATTCCTCTGTGGCGGGAGTACTGTCAGCAGCATCAGGGATAGTCCAGGGGAATGAAAAAGATGATGATTTTGGATTTGTTGATACGCAGCCAGGGTTAGTTGATGGGCAAGGTCTGATCTTTCTGCAGAAGAAGCCCAATGACGTGAAAACAGAGCAAATTAGATGAAGGTTATTGCTAAAAGAACAATGGTGGTCCTACTTCTACTACTGTACCCGTCTAGGAGGCCAACTTGGAGGTTCTTGGACTGGGAGAAGGGAGTGGTGGGAGAGAGGGAATTTGGGTTGCTGTTGCTGTTGAGAGATGGAATGGCGTAACAGGGCAACAATGGCGAATTTAAGGTGATGGCGATGGCCAAGGAGAGGAGATGATTGGAGAGTGATGGAATTTTAGGGTTCTCGGCAGCTAAACTTGGTGGGCGGTTTGGGATTGGGATTCTGGAGGTTGAAGAAGAAGATGGCGGATGTGGAAGATGAAGCAGAGCAGCCTGACCAATCATCTCCATTTTTTCTTGCTGCCAAGCGCAAGAGTGCGCCTGAGTCAGATGGCTCCATATTTGTTAGCTTTATCATATAAAGGCTCCCATTTCGCCACGTGTCGTCCATGAGGCGGCTCTCCCACTTCCACATCTTCTCCACTGAACAAAATCCCAACCCTTTTGCCTCTTCCCCTGCCTCCTCCGCCATTGCTAGAGACTGGTCTAAAACAGAGGGTTAATATTTGAAATGGGCTTGCTCTCAGAAATTTGACCACTATTTCACTTTATTATCTGCTGGATTAGGGAGTTAGGCTTCCTGTTTGGCGAAGTGGGTTTTGAGTTTGCGCAAGAAAGATCACAACTTTCGTTGTTTCTCTTTGGGGCTAATACTTTACTAGTTACTTTAATCCGCCATCATCAGCAGCTGGTATATTCGCAACTAGGTTTTAGCTTCTTTTGTTGGGAAAATGCTAGTTTCTGCGGTTATTAGGCGCGTCAGAATGGAACAAGCATCAACCTAGATAAAACAGAGCTCAAGAACAAGAACCATCATTCCTATAACATTTCCAGTATAGCAAAAATTGCAAGTTTGTCCCTGAAAATTCCTTCTTACACTGACCAAGGTTCTACTACAGCTTCTTCTTAACCAGATTGGGAAACAGAGATTTGCAAATTTGGGACTATATAACTATGGAGATTACAGTCAAATACATAACAAATATCCTAGTATTCTACAAACATAGATGACTTTCAGACTATTAAGGACACCTTACGAAACAACAAGGGCAAAGGTAAGCGAAACACCGCTTATTTGGATGACAACTTTGAATGAATAACGAATAGAACACCCATTGTTCCTGATGGTTAGACTAAATGAACAAGTTGTGAGGCTATGCAAAGTGAGGGAGCTAAAAACTGCAAACAACTTGCCAGCTTCTTTTCCTCGTGCTGCGAGGTTGTATTCAGAATGAGAGCCTATCTTCTACAAAGTTGAAATCTGCACACAACAAAATCCCGTATAATTGTTGTCACTTCTTCCCTAACCAAGTCCAAAGGTCTAATTAAACACACCCTGCAAGGAGGAAATGGTTTTTAGACACTGCATAGAGATTGCATTGTAGAGAGCGGGTGAGAGAGATAATAACCGATACCTTAGTACACAAGTAACTAATGGATCCTGTCAGAAGTTTTGAGAACATGATCATGAGACCTCCAAGGCATGATAGATCTTTGAAACCCTACGTCTTAGCAACGGCTCTAAACGGAACGAGTACACATGACTCTGCCACTTCTTGGCTTCATTCATATCATTCCACGCCTGTATTATCTCATCAATCTTGAACCCCAATCCTGAAAACCCAAACAGAAAAAAAGTTGAGCAAAACATCAGAAAGACCGTTGCTTTTCACATTGAGCAATTCATAACCAACTAGTTCATAGAACATACCATCCATTGAACTATCATTCGAGATGTGGTTCTTCATCATCACACCAATATCAGTAGCCGAAGCTCCAGCCAGCTGGAACTTCTCGAGTGCAACTTCCAAGCACTCTTGCCAAACTGGGATCCCCAGTCTGTACTCCATCATGGACCTCTCGTAGAGAATGGTGCCACGTAGGAGATTCATCTGTGACCTCAGATCCTTAATCCGTACAGCAGCATCTTCTGGCGATGTGTCTTTGAACAGCTCATCCAAAATTGTGCCTTGTAGCACAGGCTTAATCTTGGTTCTGTCCTTGAGATGGGTAATCCGTTGTGATTGCACAGCTTCCCACATATCCATCCCTTTATCCACATTTCCCTCAGCACTATTATACAGTTCTATGACCTCGGTATAAGACCAATTTGACAAGTCAACTTTGCAGCTGAGGGCATAGTACCAAGTGAGCCTTGCCCTCTCAAACTGCTGCTGCCCTAAAGCCAGAAGACCCTCGTAAAAGTCTGGTTTGATCCTCAGTGCTTCAGCATACCTCTCCCCCGCCTCCAAGTACTCCTTCTTTGTCCATTCGAATGCCACAATGATTCCCTCAAGCATTGCCTCTCGAGAGGCATCATCTTTGAACTCTATCTTCTTCCTAGCTCTCGACATGTGAACATTCCCCCAGTTGAACAACGCTAAAGCCGCCATTTCCTGGAAATTCTCAGCTGCTGTGTTGAACAACCCCTGTGCTTCCTCACTAGTCACAGTCTCCTCAATAGCCTCCGAATAGACCTTTATACCGAGGTCATTGAGCCCGAAATAGGAGTCTGTATCGAGTGCCACATGGTCTTTAAACAGCTTAGCGAACTCTACAATCCATTCATCGATGTAGCGCATCCCCTTCTTGATCTCTCTATCTCTCTCCATGTTCCATGTCTTGGTGTCAACTCTCTTCATTCCACCATGCTTGAGTCTTTCCACAATCGGGTCTTGTTGAGGATTGATCTCCACCAGATACAGCCTGAACGAGCCACCTTGTGGTGATGAACATGCTTCAGCTAACCGGAGCTCTTCATCAGTAGTTATGGTAATCAAGTCTCCTTCTTGATCCTTGTATTTGATGAGGACTGGGCCAGAACCAGGAAACCGGTCACACACCACTTCCTTCAGCTCCAGAAGACTACAGTTCACAGGAACTTGAGCCATTCTTATATCCTCTCTCATCACCAATTTCATGCTCCTCATGGGTCTATGCTCTACCACAACCAAAGCTTCTTCATTCCCATCCTCAGACTTCTTCTCATCACTCTTCCCGTTCTTCTTCTTCCTCGGTGTCCTCTCTTTAGGGGCTTTTGGAATTGGCTCAGCATAGTCAGCAGGCAACTCGATCGATGTATCATTAACCTTGAGCCCTCTCTCCTCCAACGACTTCTTCACCCTCTCCCAAACCTCGAACGCCATCACATTTGCAGGCTCCATCTTCAACACTGTCCCAACATCTCTCAATGCCAAGTCGAGGCGATTCAGTGCCTCGTAGCACCTCGCCCTCTTGAGCAACGCCTTGCCATACTTCGGTGTGACCTCCAACGCCAGGTTACACTCGTCTATCGCTCTAGGGTACTGGGTTACCCCCATCTGCATGTAGCAGGCTGCCATGTTGCTCCTCAGGTGAGATACATCGATGTGGGTTTTCGGAAGCAGTTTGATGGCCTTCTCGTACTTCTGAAGAGCTCCATCGTGGTCTCTCCTCTGGAAGAGCTTGTTGCCTTCATTTTTTAGCTCATGGGAGAGGGAAATGAAGACTTCTTCATCTTTGTCCACTGTGGGGGACTTAGGGCTACTGATTCCTCTTGCTTTGCCATTCTGTTGCTGTTGCTGCTGCTGCTGCTTCTGCTTCTGCTGTTGTTGCTTTCTCATTGCAATCAAGGTTATCCACAGTGCTAGAGACCAGAATCCCACACTAATGGATAGATAGAACTTTATAGTATCCAGAACTTCGGAGCTTAGTAATACTAGTACTACAGAAACATATCATGAATGAATTCAAGAACATAGGTTTCCCGTACGGGTCAAAAAGCCACACAAATTAACACAATTTCTCCACCACCCAACTCCCAAAATCTCAACTTTTCTGTCAAATCTCAAAAAGGGTTCCTTCCTCTCCAAACCAGGATTTGTTGGTCGCTTGTACGAATGAAATCAACAAATCCCAATTCGGAGAAACAGAGGGAAATGAACGAATGCGCTTCTAAAACGGGGGTTTCAGAGATAAGCAAAAAGCAAAGATGGAAACAACCTACTGCTGGGAATTGCGTGAACCGGAAGGAAAAAGGAAGGATCTTTGAGAAGATAACTTATCTGGGAAATGAATGAAATAGAGGAAAAGTTCCTCGCTTGTGCTTCAATTTTCCTGGAAAACAAAAGAAAATGGGGGAAAAGGAGAAACCGGCCTCTGTTTTTCACGCGTATTTCAATGCTTAACGTGAAAGCCACAGAAATGGCAGTTGATAATCCAATGTAGCTTTGTTTGATATGATATGTGTTCTTGGTTTTTCTTTTTCAATTAGAAATCTCTCGAGGAAAGCTGAGTGGGACCCATGTTCTTGTGCGGGAGATTCCAAATGTCTTGGGGGAAGATTTCAATTGACTCCTTGAAATTGTTTAATTAATCAATTTGGTGGGGTTTGTACTTTTGTATGTATTTATGGTAGCATCATGAAGCTAATAGGAGTTAATGATGGTATTAATTAGTAGTTAATTATGTCTATGAGAATATCAAAACATGTAAGTCTTATTAAATAAATATTGACGTTGAGTTGAACAAAAGAAGTTTACATCGAATTGATGAAGACACTATAATGGATATTTGTGGGGATAATGTTACAATATTCGCTTATTAATTCACGATGATATAATGGATCTTAAGTTCCACGTTGCGTTTCTTTATATGGGGAGTCACTTCGGTTTATGAAAGTTTTTTTTCCTTTAAATTGTAAAGAGTGCGTTTAATTAAAATGTATCAGTCTATCTGGTTGCTAGCAGGATACAATTCTAATTATGAAAACACACTGAGTCAAGGTGGTAATACAATGTAAATAAACAGTAAACAGAAAATAATCCATATTTAAGTTGACATATAATTCGAGGTAACATATAAAAACTAATTTCTCATTCTTATTGTAATCTGGATTTCAAATATGCTAGACTTGTCCCAAATTTTCAGGTGGAAAAATGCTCTTCACAAATCATCTTCCTTTTGGCACAATGTTTGTGGATACTGAGATATGATGTGGGACAAAAATCAATATGGACCGCAAAGCCAAAAAATGAAAATCCAATAAATTAGTGATCAGTTTAATGAAAAGCACAAATTTGTAGTGGGTTTATGGTAAATATAAAATCATGAGGGTGTGGGAGCGGAAGCATGTGAAGCAGGCAAAGCTCGGAAAGTGGGAAAGTAACGGACTTTTGGGTGGGTTCCCGCCACGACCAACTGCCAAATGGCACCCTAAAAAGGATAAAAAAGGCCCGTTTGCCGCTGTCCCAAGGCAACTCCCACCTAGAGAAAAGTAGGAAACAACAAGTGCACTTGAAAGAAAAGTGGTATCATCAAAGTTGTCAATCCGGGGATTGATCCAGACCCGGTTGATCTAGTAGGTTAAGGATTAATGAGTCACTTGTTTTAGTCCGGTTTAGTCCAGAAATATTGAAAAATTCATTATATTGTACTTATCCTAATAAATTATATCAAATATCATCTAACATATGAGTTATAACATATAATATTCCACCAAAATAACATGTCGTACTTAGATCCAACATATAGTGAAAATTCACACACACTTATATAACATATATATATATTCAAATATTCAACTTAGGATTCCAAAAATTGAGTTAGGCGAAAAGGAAAATCGGAAAATAGGCGCATTTCGCAAACCAAAGAAAAAAATGACACAATTTGACCTCTAACCCGATACCTTGTGGCGGTCAACCCGGCGGGTGCATGCGGCCTGTTTTTCTCACCGGGTCAGGGTCAAAGTGGGTCGACCCGCGGGTTGACAACCTTGGTTATCATTGAGGGAAACATTTTAGGGTGTATAGTATCACAGTAAGAGGCAGTGGTTTCGTTTCGTTTAATCGAATTGAAATCGGTAGAAATCAAAACTCAAATATACTATTGGCCAAAGCCAAAATCGACTTTTATTTTTATTTTCGGTTATAATAAACAGGACATAAAAATCCAAATCGTTAATTGTATTGTTCTTTGCCTCTTTGTAATTTTTGGTTTTTTATCGATTCATTAACGAATTTCCGAATCGTTAAGGCCTTATAAGTTTTTACTCGTTAAGGTACACCGATAGACGATAAGGTTGTCGAACCTGTTGAACCACCACCCATAACTATAGTTACTGGTTTTAAAGTAGTATTAAGTAAGCTGACAAACAACTCTTTAGTGGAGTGACACTCTTAAAAATCTTTGCTGCCATAGGGTTTTGAGTTCAAGTTTTGGTAGTGAGATTTAATTGTGTGTGTATGATGCGAGACAAATAAGTAGAACATGCGTGCTACAACCAGATGAATGTAAAGAGTACGAAATCGTGTGAATGCAATATCGCCTACAAAAGAATATAATACACATGGTTGATTAGCTCATTTTGAATTACAAGTGATTGCAAGTTTTGTCCATGTTATTACAAGCATTTCAAGCAATTTTGGTAACTAAGGGCTGCTAATGAAACCTGCTCGTGAGAAAGCTCGATTGGCAGTGACACTAGTGAGAGGTGTGTTGGACTTTGAACACCAATTTGTTCACCAAGATCGACTTGACATCTAACCTTCAATTGCGGCCCAACAACAACATTTGGGCATCTAGGTACTCTTTTGGGCCCATGGTAGTCTGAGTTAGTAGACTGGGCTGCATACTGAAGTTAAGGTCCATGTACAGGTCATCAGTTCTGACGTGTCGTCAACCCATTGGCCGATTAGCAACAACCCGTGTCACCGTCGCCGCATCGGTATTATCCTACAAGGCGGCAGAGCTTCTCGATCTCAGCTCTCCCCGGGCAACAAAACCCCAGAAGCTTCAAAATTTAGGATAACAAATTTCTCGTAGCCGTCTTTCTTCAGGGATCTTCTTCATCTTCGTGGGATTAAGCGAAGCCGAAGAACGATGAGATCTTTGTGGTTGCTCCTTGTTGTATGCGCTGTTTCCAGCTGCGTTTTAGCTGACCAGATCCTCCCAGCTCACGTAGGTAAATCACCCATTCGAACGATTTGCAGAACCATGTTGATTCGCTTTTGAGTGATTTGAAAGTCCTGTTTTTTCAATTTTCCCGTCCAAGTTGATCAGTTGATCTTTGTTGAGTAGTGGGTACTAGAGAAATCTCTGAATGTTTCTTACTCCTTGCGCCAGATTTGATCGAAATCTGTCCGTTTCAGTTTGAGGGTGCTTATGGGTTGTAATCTTAGCTGCTGCCAGGGTGGATTAGTAACTGATGATTTTGGGACCTGTCATGAAAATGAGAACATTTCCCCCATTGCGCTATTGCTAATGATCTCACAAGCTGCAATTTTGCATCCTTTTTGAAACAGTTTTCCGTTATCTTTATATCTGGAGTTGATCTTAGTTAACTACATGGTGGCAGGTGGTTCGTTCAGCCGCAGCTCTCGCGAGCCCAAGTACAAGATGGAGTTCCATCCTGAAGAAGCCCCCTTTCATCCTGTGAGTAAGGCGTAGTTGCATTGGCGTTATGCTATCTTTTGACTACATGTTAGGATCTGAAAGTTGGTGGATGTCTAATTTGTCGAAACCGACAACGTCATTACAGGATGAGGATCAAGAATTTGTTGTTATGCCTGATACAAATGGGCGCAGTTATGTATGTTACTTGCCTAAGATAGAGAAAGCCAAGAGTGGGAAGCCAATCAATCAGGTTAACATAAGCAGCATGATCGTGGAAACTGAGAAACGGCTTAAATTGAAGACTCCAGATGAGCTACTTGAAGTGTTCAAAGGCAAATGTCTTGTCAGAGTTAGTATTTGCTTTCCCAGTTCCAACTAAACGTCATTTTGCATTTCTTGTATGCTTTGCTCCTGATACTGTGCCATACTTGCAGCAAGAGGGTTGGTGGACTTATGAACTCTGCCACGAGCAAAAGTTAAGGCAGTTTCATGTGGAAGATGAGAAGGTAAGAAATTTGGAAAATTAAAGTTTTGCTGTTATCTTAGTCCCTAGAAGAATGTATTTGGCTTACATGTACAATTCCCTCATTGCAGGTGGTTCAGGAATTTGTTCTGGGTGTTTATGATGAAGAGGCCACAGCTGCATTCAACCAGAACTTAAAAGACGTTTCTACCTTGAAGGATCCTCGGTCGAAAGATGCATCTCAAAGGTATCCCAATGAACTATCAAATGAATTAAAGCAAAAGGAAACTTTGTAGAAAGGTTTCCTTACGTACCATCAACGTTATTTGTGTAGGTACCATGCTCATCAATATACAAATGGAACTCTCTGTGATCTCACCAATCAGCCACGAGAAACTGAAGTAACGATTTGGAGCGAACTCTCTGATAGCTTCCCTTTTCCTTTTTCCTTCTATTTACACCTCATTTTCTTGTTGGACAGGTGAGATTTGTATGTTCCGAGCCAAGAGCTATGATTAGTTCTATCACAGAGCTATCCACTTGCAAGTACGCCCTGACAGTACAATCTCCGATGCTTTGCAAGCATCCGTAAGTCTCACCCTCTTGATTCAAATTCAAATGCTTTCCCTCTTTTTAGCTGCTTAAACTTTTATTCTACTGTGACTTTGCAGACTGTTCCAAGAAGAGAGACCAGTGTGGCACACCATCAACTGCAATGCCCTGCCGAAGACTTACAAGGAAAGCAAAGTCGAGAAAGAGTCAACCGATGAGGATAAACAAATCTTCATGGTCACGGAGGTTGAGAGTCCAACCAATGAGCAGTCCTAGGAGTGAATTGAACACATGGAGGAGGGGGCTTTTCTAGTTTGAACTCACACTCACGTCACAGCTCACTTGCAGCCTCTCTTCCTTGACGTCGTCCAAGTTAAGGGTGGCAATTGACGTAGTTAAGTGCATGTAAATCATAGAAGATGAATCTATGCTCAGATAACGGGATCTTGTAAATGAATAGATTAAAGAGAAGTTCCTTCGCTACAAACTTCACTTTTGGATTCTGGTGAGTTGGAAAAGTTGGGTCTGAAACTTGCTTTCTAAGGCTTTTCTTTCTTCTTCTTCAGGGTTGTGGAGCCAGTTAATCAATGATCATTGAGAGAAACTATATGAAAGATATTGAGTTTAACAGTTAGCACTCCTTTGCTATTCCCAGTCTGATGATTTTCAGCTAACTGCTACACCTTGAAGAGGGGAAAGATTGTATTATATATATTGTGCTCAAATAGGTCACTGATGACCATTCCAAAAGGATGTCTAAAGAAGGTGATCTGGAACTAAAATAAAACATTGTGTAACTAATTTCCTTCACCAAAAAAGAAAAACATTCCCAGATAGAAGCTACAATTGTCAAAAGATGAAAAGCGATAAACTATAGTCATCAGCTATTGACACTAATAATTTACAGAGAGACTAGTTCCTTATTTCCTTCTCCTGGTGGCCTCGACCAGAAGTTGAAGCACTTCCACTGCTACGACCAGTTGAATCGAGTAATGCCAAGTACTCGTCAATGGCTTCCCCTTCTCTTGTTACATCAATATCATAGTCAGATAAAGCGTCTCTCCTTGCTAATTCATTTGCTATCTCATCCTCCATTTCCACATCTCGCGGTTCAGAGAAACTTGCATCAGCTGGTGGTTCAGCATTTGCGGCAGCACCATCAGCAGCAACAGCCTGAGCAGCAGCACCATCAGCAGCAACGGCCTGAGCATGAGCAGCAGCAGCCTGAAGAGCAGCAGCGGGATCTGGAAGTGGCCCTTGTTGGAGAAGCCGCCGCATTATTGTCTCTGTAGTGCCACCAGCTTGGACCGCTGCAGCTACAGCTGGCATGTCGAATCCCATGGATGCAATCAGTCGGATTTTAGAGTCCGTGTCTTGCTTCTGTCTTTTGGCTTTCCTTGTTTCAATGTCGTTCTGAAAACTCAAATCAAGGTAATAACAATGAGTGGAAGAGCTTGAAAACGTGACCGGCAGATACACCTTGAAGAGACAGCTAAAAACTTACCTGGATGGTAGCATTAGTTTCTGGATTTGTCAAATCATCCAATGCCTTCTGAGTATCATTCTCGTTTCTTCGTAGTGCTTCAGCAGCAAGTTGCTTCTCAAACCTGATACATTTGACAAGTTTTCATCTCAATATGCTATAAAAGTGGCATCGGGAATCAACAATAAAAACTTGGTAGTGGATGCTTACCCTATGGAGACCAATCCTGTCAATAGTTGGATATCCACAGCTTTCTTCAAGGGTGTAACACCATACTTTTTTTGCTCCCTACGTCCAACGCTGACCAGTCAGAATAAATGACAGATGAAAATTGCAATAAGAACAAGCAACCTGATTGCCACTCACAATATTTCTGCTTGCCGCTTAAGGTCTTCTTGTCGTTTCAGTGCTTTCCGCGCCCTTTCCTCAACTAGAAAATCAACAGCACGTTCGGCATCTTGATTGTTGATTCTCAATGCTCTCTTTGCTTCGTTTTCTTCGAAACCCATCCCCATAACAACTGACAAGACTTCATCTGACACTTGTAGCTACAATGGAAAAAGTCACATATCATCAAATGGTACTGAGTACTCGTTGGGAGGATATACAGAGAGCTCTATTTTCATGCTTACCCTTTTGAATTTGGTCTGTGCAGATATCAAGTACCTCCTAGATTTCTCAAGCTGGCCACTATGATATGCCACCACTGCTTCGAGTAGTTCCAATCTCAAATATCTGAACGTAATGATAAAAAGGAGTTATAACTAATGAGCACCAGATATCCACCAACTCTCTAGTTTTTGGGTACCTCTTAATGAAGATTTTTCAGAATACTTACACTGCAAGCTCCGAAGAGTTTCCTGCTTGAAGTAGTTTGAGACGAGAAGCATCCTTGCCATGAGCACGTTCGAATCCATCTCTTGCCTTATCAAGACGTACTCCAGCAACAGAGAGACATGCAATGTCTTTCAGCATGAAATAGCACCACACCATGTCCATTTGCAGCATTGCAATATTATCAACACGCTGGAAGCAAGTAAAAGAAGATTTAGAAAAAAACACACAGGGTTTAGCCAAAAAGTTATGAAAAGGAATTATATGAAGCTATTTAAAACGGCCACGTACTTCAACAGTCTTTGGATCGCCAAGAGAGAATGATTCCTGCAAAACACAAAACAAAACAAACAACCAGCAATGAATCCTCCCAATTATGGGAAACTCGTAACCAAAAAGCTTGAATAGGCATGCAAATCGTCCCGCTATGTTGAGAAAGAGTCAACCAACCTCTGCCATATTCAGTACTTCCAGAGCATCTCTGAACTTTCCCCTTTTCATTAGAACCTTGCCATTTGTGTGGAGCATCAAACCCATCATCAGTGCCCTGCCAATCCATATTTCAAAGTTTCAATCAGAAAGGGCATAAATTAACAGCACACTATAGACACAACAGAAAAAAAGGTGCGAACTTTCACAAGAACTGTCTAGTCAAGAATCATTACTGTCTATCGGACTCGGATAAGTGCAGTTTGTTCCCAAGTTGGTCTTCGATTTCTAGATTGAAGTCCTCGAGCGGCAATGCACCATCTGCGTGTCTTGTGGACAATGCAGTTACAGCTGCCCTGAAAAGTTCACAGCAAGAAACCCATAAAATTGGTTATCAATCCGTCATAATTGAGCTCCAAAACAAACTGCCATTCATCCCTTAAGCCCTGCTCATACAAGCTTAGTCGAAGGAATTCAAACCGAAAACTGGAATCATACAGTTGTCCACATATACTCTCAAGGCAAACAGCAATTCAAGGATTCTCAAAAGACATGCAAAATCAATACCACTGTTCCTTCTCCTAATCAGATTCCTACAAAACAAACCATTCTTTTTCATGATCATCACACAGTCAAACAAAGGAATGTAAAAACAGTTGATCCATTACAAGCAAACACCATTATCAGACAAATCAAAACAAAGGAACAAGACAAGACAATAAAAGAGAGAAAGGTACTGACTTTACGCGAGCCAGCCTCTGATTGAGCTCCTCCTCGTCCTTCAACGATTTCCCTTCGTCGACGGCGACCCGGCTGGCCAGAATCTTCGAGTTGGGCCTGATGCCCAACTGCGAGAGCTTCTCCGTGCCGTCGCCGTCTTTCAGCATCTTGCCGGCGCATATCAGATTGATTGAGGCAGGGCAAACGTTTGATCGCTTGGCGACTTCTTCCCTCAACGTGGGCACCGTCCAATTCTCCAAGTCGACCTCATCCAGAACCCCCGACCATGTCCCTGCAACTCTCAGCTTCACCATTGTTGTTCGAAATCGGAACCCAGACGAGAAGTTATCGGGGGGTTTCTGACTCGTAAACTGATCGTCGTCGAAGTCTCCTGCTTTTGCTCTCTTTTCCTTCCTTGCTCGTTAATCCATTAGTGGGTCTTCCTTTTTATAAGGTTTTCTTCCTCCGAATTCTAAAAGGATTATGAAAGACTTTGGGCCCTGGGAAGTGGAGTCTGAATACGACTGGAAAGGGCAAGAACTAATTCACAATTCAGTACTCCATCTTAAGTGTTATTATTTTTTTCACTCCTTGTTTATGTTCTTTTAACACACCACATATGAAAATTTTATAAAATTGATGTTTTATATAGCAATTTTGAGGAATTATGCTGGAATTTTCAAATCAATTAATTCATTAATGAATATCAATGGCATGGCTATCCTAATTAGCAATTAGTATACATTTGTGTCTCTCCACTAGCTTCACTCAAATCTCATCCCCTCTTATTCTACTCTAAAATTACTCTTATTTCATTTAAGTGTACGACTCTCTCCTCGTTCGATATACAAAGAAGTTTTAGTTCTATTATCACTCCATTTGTTCTACACTCTTCGTCTTCGTGTTCTCTCTCTGTTCGTTTTAGTTTTCTTTAATTTATCTGTCTATGGAGCTCACGATGAGAATTGTTTAACGAGGAGATAATCAAATTTTGAAAGAATCTTTCAATCAGATCAAAACTTTCACTTGCATTTTTATAGGAGGACATGAGAGAATTTGATATTTCATAACACAAAAATATGTTCCAAACATTATTAAGGAATTCAATTATATTCATCCATGAAGAATTTCAACGTGACATTGCAAACAAAGAATTCATACGAAATAATATTTATTTTTGAAGAAAATAAATTCTCGATTCATTTTTGTCTCAAATGGGAGGGAGGATCCGGTGACTAGGGGGATGCTTAGTCACTTGACTAAGTCTCTCTCAGTCCTTAGATCTGGACACGACAATCTGACAGTTAAAAAGTGGGAAGGGCTATTTAATTAATGACAAGGGTAGTTTGGGTATTATGAAAACTTACGAAGTATACAAACCAGACTTACAATCAGTACAAACCATACAAACAGTACAAACTACAACGACAAAACATACAAACAGATTTACAAACATTACAAACATATGGACTGTACAAACAATAAAAACTAGACCGACAAACAATACAAACAATACAAAAAGGAAAAAACAACCGGGTTGACTTTGGAGACTCCATCCCTATATAGAGGGCTCCGCCCCAAAGTCAACCCGGTTGTTTTTTCGACATACAAACATAACGAACACGGTGGACAAAAATGACAAACTAGACCGACAATCCATACAAACTCGAAAAAACACCCGGGTTGACTTTGGAGGCTCCATCCCTATATAGAGGAGTTCCATCCAAAAGTTAACCAGAGTGTTTTTTGGACATAAAAAATATTACAAACATGGTTGACAAAAATGATAAACATGGTGCACAAAAATAACAAAGCTTACAAACATTACAAAAGAAACCGACAAACATTACAAAATAACAAAGCGTACAAGCATTACAAAATAAACCGACAAACAGCAAAAGTATACTAACCGTAAAAAATGTCACTAAAAATTACAAACAAGAATGATAAACAATACAAACCAAATCTATACAAACATCACAAATTCAGCACTGTCGCCGGGAAATCCTTTTCCGGCGTCAGTGGCTGCCGGGAAATCTCTCTCTGACGCACCAAAAATGGTGAGACTAAAAAATGGAACGCACCAAAAATGGTGGCCTAGGAGATGCACACCGCCGGAACATCCTGGACGGCGGGACGACGGGGAGGACGAGACGTTTTGGAGGTTGTTTTAATTATTAATTATTAAAAAATAAAATAATTATAAATCATGCCGTTGCTACGTTACCTTTTATTAAATTAAATTAATTGTAGCCGTTAGATTTTAATGAGTTTGAAGGGTTGAGATCGACTTAAGCATGTGGCTAAGAGATCTTATCTAGAGATGACAATTTTGACCTGACCCGATTAACCTGATCTGTTTGGCTTGTTTTGGGATGGGTCAGGCCCGCCCCGTAGGCGGGACGGAGCGGGAATGGGTACCTCTCATCGATCCGATTTTCCCTGACCTACCCCATACTTGACCTGTTTTTGCCTAAATTACATATAATCTTAGTCAAATTACTTAGGATTTTCCTATTATTACATTATATTTTAGCTATAATAAAGTTGTAAATAAGTGAAAACCTCAATTTCTTCAATTATTTAACTATATTTTATTATATTATGGTTTCTTTCTTGATTTTTTTAATGAAAATAACGAATATTTCTAATATTTTTGAGTTTTTCACATAAATTACATACCCATTGAATCAACTTGCCCCGACCCACGCCCCATAATAAATTACCCAACCAGAACCCGACCAACAATAGAACGGGTATACGTATCGAGATACCCACCCCGAAACTTCCCATTGCCATTCCTCATCTTTTCCCTCAAATAGCCTAATGGCTAATAGCATGAATTCATAATTTTGAAGATATCATGCCATCATGGTAGTATATTTGGAGGACTGATTTACACTCCGTGAGATAGACTGGAAGAAGAAAATGTGGGTCCCACGAGCCAGGTGGCATCCATGCGCTGACTGGACAGTGCACATTTCTTCGATCAAAACGTCGGGAGAAATCAGTCGCCATCGCCAAAATTAACATGGTACATGGACGCCGTCGATGATGGATCCCCGACCCTCTTCCAGTTCCAATCCCCTCATCCACCGGCGGAGGCGGCCTCCGCCATGACGACGACGACGCCCACGAGGAGCAATTCCCTCGGGAAGCCCAAAACCCAGGGCAAGAGAAGCCACAAATCGGCCCCAAAACCGCCTCCGATCCTCCCAATCCTCTCCGCCGCCGCCACGACGGCGCAATGTTTCGTTACCGGTAACGGCGCCCGAATGCTCCCTTCTCAGCTCGTCGATTTCCAGCGCCAACTCGATTCCCTATCCCTTCCCGTCCAGATTCCCTCATCTCTGCCCGACTAATCCATCTACGGCGGCGCCGATTTCAATTCCCGGTGGTTCCAGTACTTCCGAATGAGCAATTCGACGTTCCATAAGCTCCTCGAACTCCTCACTCACCCCTTCATTTACATCCTGCCTCCCGCCGGCCATACTTCCTGACGTGGCCCTCGCCGCCGCACTCTGCCGCCTCGCCCACGGTACGCCCTACGCCACCGTGGCCCGATGGTTCGGCCTCGATTCCCCGGAAGCCGCACGCCTCGTCGTCGGCCAAGCCGTCTGCGAGAACATGTCGATGGTCGTCGAGTTCTGGAAGGAAGCAGAGCGGACTCAGATGGGATTCCGGTGGGTGTCCCTCCCGAATTGCTGCGGTGTTCTAGGGTTTCAGCGATTTGGGTTCGAGAACAGAGAATTGGGCGGCACCAGTGGGTCCTTCCTGGTTCAGGCAGTGGTCGATACGGATGGCAGGTTCTTGGATTGGATATCTCCACTGGATGGCCGGGAACCATGAGCCCTGAATCGATTCTCCGAGAAAGCAAGTTTTTTGCTTCTGTTCAGCAATCGGACGAGCTGCGAAAGGTGCTGTTGACACCGTTTAGCGCGGTGGATGATGAAGTGACAAATTTGGGGGAGACAGAGTTTAATGCACAGCACAGTAGGGGAATTGAATGGGCCGCACAGCACTGCATTTGCTCAGCTCAGGGCTCGATGGCAGCTGTTACGGATGAAATGGAATGATGATGAAGTCGAGTTTCTCCCCTCCCCTCCGTGATCGTGATGGGTTGTGTTCTGCATAACTTTTTGATCAATGCCAAGGAGCCATTCCCCGAGGAATGCCAGGAGCTCGGTGGATTACAGCAGCGTGAGCAGTTTCCAGTTTACAAAGCAGTTGTGAATGAGAAGGCAAAGTGGACCAGAGACAAGCTTGCACGTCATTTAGGCTGGCAGGGTGTGCTTCGGGAGAATGGTTGGTAAGAGCTCAGCTTAAGCTAGGATCCCGTGGTTGTTCTTTAGCTTTCTTTTTTGTGCATACTTAGATGTTGCCTGTTGCATGAATCTAGTTGAGTTGCAATGGGGATTTTGGTCTGAATGTTTTCGTGATAAGGTGTTATGAACTAGCCTTAGCTTTAGGTGAGAAGTGAGAACTTCCTTTCCGCAATGAGCAATTTGTCTCGATTATTGTCCTGCTGTTTCGATCTCTTCGAAGTAGTATCTCTTGTGGTTGAACTAGCTAGGCAACAATTCATAAGGTAGATGTTGGACAAAGAGTTTCACATGGCTGATGATCGAGTGTTGAGTATAGGCGGAGGAAAAACCTTCCCTTTCTGCAACAGACACTTCCAACGCCTGATCTCTCCTCCTGAAAGTTGAGCTGATATGGTGCCAATTGGACGTTGGTTACAGTGATTCGTTACCAATACACAGAGCTCGCTTAGATTATTTGGGTGTTTAGTCTTCTATATGGTTTTGGAGGATTGTTTTTCCTGTGATTTCCGTTTTTCATTGGAGAGTGGAGACACTATCAAATAAGTCACTAGATGTGATGGCGTTTGTGTTCGTTAATCTCTTACGAGAAAGCCCATAAGAGACGCTTTGGCGGGAAAGAAAGAAGGGTGAGAAGTCCAAAGTGGGGCAGCCAAAAATCTCTATATAAAGCAGAGCACCGGCGCCGGCGGAGAAAAAACCCCAGTGATCACAGAATCTCGAAACAGGGAAACCACTGAGAAGAAATTTGCAATGGAGGACGCCGACTCCGACGTCATCGAGATTTCCCCGCTCTCCCTCCCGCCTTCCCACTTTGCCAGGAACAGAAAACGTGAACAGGTTGGTTTCTAGAATCAAATATAGTTATTTATTTTTCTTCTTCTTCCATGACATATCTCTGATGCATTGAAGGAAGCTCCTTTAGATTTTAGGGGAACTTACCCTTGACATAACTGCGATGCTTATGCTGTAAACTGTAAAGCAAGCTCCTTGGTTTTCTGCATGTTGTGGCCCTAGTTCCTTAATTATAGCATACAGTCGCTCAGTTTCAGATGCTTAATTGCTTATGGCGATCGAGTATTACATGGACATATCTTCTGTTCTGTACGTTATTGGACAATCATTGGATAGGCCTGTTCTCTCTAGTAACACATTGTTATTGTAATCATGGCGTCTATATATGTACAGGCTTTGCTCCCTGAAATCGTTGATGTAGATGACTAGCACGACGATGTTGTGATCCTGAATGAGAATGTTTGCAGAAAGGGCAACGGTAAAGCTACCAAGGATGTAAACGTTGTCAATCTTGTTGAAGATAAGGTAATACAATATGTGTATCATTGACTAGACTAGACACATTTGGTTATCATTGTTATCTTCGTCATTTCCAACTCACCCGTGTAAATGTCCTTTGACTTGATTCTCAGGATACAATCACCCTGGCCTAGATACAAGTCGTCATGGAAAGGAAGACACATTTTTTCGACACATTGTTGAGAAATTTATCAATGTTCGTGATCCACGTCAAGTCTTCAATAATGGATCAAGTGACCGGCCCACAAATGTCGAGTGCAGCTCTTGGATTGGGAATCAGTTGTGCTTTACAGATGTTTCTTCTATGATGTATGGTCGAATGTCGCTGGGAGTTGTAGGAGACCCATTTTTGTCGTTTGATTAATACAATTGGAAGAAGCATAAGACTCGGTATCGAGACATTTGAACAGCTTTCTTTGTTATGTTCCAACAATCATTTCATTCATCTTCTCAGAATATGCACAAAAAGACTGGAAGCGAACCACTTATGGATTATCAGTTTTCATGCTCTACATGTTTATATGCCTCGTGCAGGAGATCAACCTGAAGTTCCAAGCGTAAGTGAAGTTTTAAGGAAATTTAAGCGCTTCAAGCATTTCGATATCGTGGAAGACCATGCAGCCCATCTCTACAGATGGTTTTCTTCATCGAAACAGGTGACTGACTGCAATATAAAATTTTGCTTGTTTTGGTTCTTTGAGAACGCACACTTCAATATCAGGTTGTTTTTCGGGCGAAAAGGAGAGAGATCGAAACGGGATTTCACACAAGTCTCCTCTGCCAAAAAGGGAACATTCCATTCTGTGTCCAAGCCTAGTTTTCAATTTTATCAGAACACAGTCTTGCTATTTATTGAATTTCGTGGTTTTGTCAGACTGACAAGAAGTGGGCAAAAAGAATTCAAGAGGAGTGGAAAATGCTGAAGAAAGATCTGCCAGGTAGGATATCGTACCCTTTACCAAGTTATTCTTTGAGCATCCAAGAACCGATCTTTCTTCTGTTTCTTATGATAAATAGACATCATTTCCTGAAACTATGCATCTAAATCCTGAAAATGTTGTTCATGCAACCAGATACCACGATATATGTGAGGGTCTACGAGTCGAGAATATGGACCTATTGAGGGCTGTAATTTTAGGCGCGGACAGAACTCCTTACCACGACGGTCTGTTCTGCTTCCAAGTGCTCCGCCGGTATGTATATATGGCCCTTCTAGGAACATGGACCACTTTTAACAAAGCTGAGAACTGGCAGCCTGGGGTTTCGAATGTGATGCAGGTTCTGCTTTCTATACAAGCATTGATATTAAATCGAGAACCCTTCGTACAATGATCCTCTAATCCATGGGGTGGCGAGTGGAATACTCTCCACCGGTTTCCCCAGCATCACGTCGTCGGTAGAGTACAATGAGAGGGCATTCCTTCAATCGCTCGAGCTCATGGTCATTACAATGAGGGAGCCACCAAAAGTAAGGGTCACGTTTTTTTTGTTGCAGAAGGGACTTTAGTTTATAACACAGTACATTGCAGAACTGGAACCAAATATGTATCGCGTCTCGTTTGCAGCACTTTGAGGACTTGGTGAGGGGCCATTTCCACAGCCGGGCCAAGGACATCATGGTGGCGTGCAGAGCGTACATGTCCGATGCTCGAGTTGGATGTGTGACGAAGAAGAAGAGGAAGAAGGGCGGAATCCGGGATCTCGAAGAAGGGTCGCAGCTCGCCAGAGTTCAGGAAGGACTTAGCTGCACAAAAGGGAATGCTGGTGCAAGCTTTCACCGAACTTGGAGTAAAAAACCTATGAAGGTGCAGTAACTAGTGAATCTACAGCTGATGAATGTGTGTTTGAGCAATCGGAGACTGAAACATCAAAATGACTCAACGGGCGGAGACACTTAGAGCCCACCATTGTTTTGGACATGACCACTCATTCTGCACCAAAACATTCAATACGTGAAAACATGTTGGGGGCCCACCAGCAAAAGGCCCAATGTTTTCTAGGGTTATAAAAATGCAACTTCTGGGAAATGGAAATAAAAGAATGCAGGAATGGAATTTGATCATATGATATTGTGAAATCTACAAATTCAGCAGAAACTCCTACTTTATCCAACTTTATGTATCATAGATTTTAGACTCAAGAGATTTCAATTATTATCCTATAAAATGTAGAGAATGTAGAGAAAGTACAATGTCAACAATCATCGTTACCAAATGTCAAGCTTTTTTATATTGTTTTTTTCAATAATTGGGCGAGTTATAATTCTGGATTGTTTAGAATATGAAATTCTAGATTCATTTTTTTTTTCAAATGGTGGCTGCTTAAGTATATACAAGTACAAAGGGCATATAGTATATAGGGTTTGTAGTATATACTTGCATCGTCTAGATTGATTGATTATAATAGTTAATTAAAGAATGCACGAGTACCATAGTTTAGAAAGATTTGTATGCAATTCTTATTGTTGGACCTTTATCACACCTTGAATTTCTAAGTTCGCTAGCTTAATCTCCATTATGAGCTCACAATCCATACTTTTAATCCAGTGATATCAAACAACAAATATATTATCGAGTCATAGAAACACTCGTGGAGTAAAATTTTCACTTGATATTTTACATCAGGGGCTTCACTATGAGATTAGGAAATTACATAAATAAGAAAACAATCGAATTTCTAATGTATGTATTTCTACCATTATAATTTTTCCCGATATTGCTGCTTCTTATTATACTAAAATAAATAAGCCTAAATTAAAAAAAAAAATTGGAATAATATAACTGTCCATATTTCTACATTTATAATTTTCCTATATAACAATTAAAATTCTTGAAGTGAGGTTGATATATCATTGATCAACACTACTCTTTCAAAAAATTAACTGTTTATATATAGCTAGTTGTGTATTGGAGGTTTTCTTCGAGCCGTTGAGTAGTCCATTTCAGCTACATCCATCATATCCATGTAGCCTTCGCCATTAACGTTCTCTTCATTATGATGGCCGTGGTGGTTGCTATCGGAATGGGCTTCCGACAGAAACTTCTTCGCCGGGCCACCGTCGTCGCCTCTTTCTCCGGTGGTTTTCGTGGTGGCTCCATCTTTCTATAGAATGAAAGAAAGATAATTACAACGTTAATCATATGTTTACTCATCATAAACCCACTTTAAGTATTTTGCCGTACATGCATACATAAGATTACAAAGTTAAGTAGTACTCGAAATAGTGCCATTGGTCACCAACCTTTGAGGCACCTATACTTGTGGAATCGGCGCCATGGTTGATGAGCTCTCCATCGTTCATAATACCCTCGTAGCCTACGTACAAAAAAAAAAATCGTTTTAAAGCAACAATCACTACGAAAAATTGAATTGGAAACACGTATAAAAAAAACAATCATATGAAAAATAACTGTGTGTGGATCTTTTTGACGATCAAGAGATTCGAATTTTCCTCTCTTTTTATGGATTCATCTCTCTAGTACATTTGCGAGCTTCAAATACTAGCTAGCTAGCTCAACTATTTGACTTTGGACGATCAATCAATTGGAGAAAAAGAGATCTAACTAGAAAGAGAGGTGGTGGGGGAGATTTGATTTGACGAAATGAATCATTCTAATTAAGGGGTTAATTAACTAGCCAAAAGGGCTAATTAAGGTAGCTAATAAGATGCTCGTCAATGGTGTTTAGGTCTGTGATTTCTGGGTCCATAGTAATCTTCATGAAGCCAATGATGCGAGGAAGAAGAAGATGGTTTCTTTGTAACTGATGTTCTTGTCTTCATCTCATCAATACCTGTATTTTTACATTCCTGCCCTTCTTTGCACACAACTACTCCATCTTCTCCCACTACTAGTACTCTTCCATTACTATCATGATCATTAGGACTACTTCTTTCCTCCATTGATGGTGATGATGATGAGCTCTTCTTCTCCACCACCACAACCACTAGCTTATCAGATTCCTGTTGTTGATCAAGAAATCCCTTCTCGGGTCGAATCCCTATAACATAAGAACAAGAAACAACTTGTTAGAACACAAAATTTTCATCTTGTCGATCGTGGGATGCACATTAAGATATAAGTGGTTAAATATAAGTGCAGCAATATGAGATTGATTACCTTGAGCTTGTTGATCAAGAAATCCCTTCTCGGGTCGAATCCCTATAACATAAGAACAAGAAACAACTTGTTAGAACACAAAATTTTCATCTTGTCGATCGTGGGATGCACATTAAGATATAAGTGGTTAAATATAAGTGCAGCAATATGAGATTGATTACCTTGAGCTTGTTGAAGGAAGAAAGGTAGAAGAAGTAGAAGAGAGACAACCAAAGCAAGCTTCATTTGAGGCTTTTGGTATGTATGTGCTTGTATGGCAAAAGGGTTCAAAATCAAAAAAGGGAAAATGGGTTTGAAATCTATCTATCTCTTGATGAACTCTATCTTTGCAAGTTGCAAGCTTTGAGAGATGAAGAGGTGTGGGAGCTAAGGAGTGGGAGTTGGGCTTGCTTTAAATACACAAAAAAAGAGTGGATTTTGAATAAAGGAGAGAGGTCCCCACAAAATAAGCAAAGGGAGGGATGAAGGGGATTCTTTGTTTCCTCTTTCAACCAATTTTTTTTTTTTTTTTGTATTTCTTTAATTTAGGGTTTCCATGAATCCCCACTTTGGTTTGTTCTTCCCTTATGTCTCAATTGGGGAACATCACAGCTTGGCAGTCCATGAATCTTTTGTCCAAGGAATTGATGAATTGTTAATCATTGAGCCATTAGGGCATATAGCTAGATTGACATGTTATAAATTTATAATCACTTACTCATTCACTCTAATTAATTGTGTTGCGGCACACCCCTTTCCAACGATCAATTGCGATTGCGGCTAGCAAGCAAAACTTTCAAACTAAAACTAAATGTTCGTGCAAAATGCGTTGAAAGGTTAGAAGAATATGCCCCTGACTTAAGATCATATTGTTCCATTATCATTTCATGTTGTATGCAAAAAAATTTGTTCAAACTTTAATTTTGTAATATTGAACAATGTTTATTTTTGGATTAATACAAGCAATGACTATTTCCTATTCCGAGTTTTGACACCTCATATGTACTTCAAGAAAACCTTATAGAAGTTTGTAGATGTTATTCAAGAAAAGAACTACACATTCACCAAACTCAATGAGTGAAAGGAGACATCTACTGTGGGGATCGAAGCATGTGTTGTAGTTTCACACCATATAAATATAACTAGACAGTTTTTCTTCTACGTACGTTCTTTGGCTTGTCAACTCCAACTGCCCTTCGGTCTCTTTTCCTATCGTCTAGCCATGATTAATCAAGAATGACTGGCCACAATCGCAAAGGGTTTCCATTTCTAGTCATTGATCAACATCACTTCTTTTTTTTATCATTTTCTATTCTGCATTATTGTTATATAGTGCAGCAATTTTTGACGATGATGGCTATTTTCCCAATTTTGTTAAAATGCTCACAAATGTCTACATATATATATATATATATATATATATATATATATATATATATATATATATATATATATATATGAGAACGTGCTCATAACGATTAGGCGTCGTCAGATCATGTATTGGGTGCTCTGTGATTATTGGATGAACATGCATGATGACAGTTTTGTCCACATCCAACACCACAAAGCGCATAGCGCGCTCCCTGATGACGTCCAATCCTCTGAGCACGTTTTCACGAATGAACTGTATATATATGCCAGGATTGTGAAAGAGATGGGACGGCCGCATGCATCTTGGATAATGTGGTATAAGTTGTGTTTAATTTTCCTTTATCATCATACAATCATGTATTTTCATGACGAGAAAATTCATCGGTTCGCGAATATTCCATAAAATATATAGTCAGCAAAACTCACACGAAAGCAAGCCGATATATATATATATATATATATATATATATATATATATGGTGCCTTCTACGGTACCCCAGGCGAAATCCAGGGTATCACATACCTTGAGTTTGAAAATGCTATCTTGATCTCGAATTAGCATGATTTTTGGACCTGATACTATACCCTAACCCTTAATGAATGAACCCTAGTTCCTAATTATCTAAATTATAAACTATAAACCCCTAAGATGATGCATTCATTTTTTGCCTTTATTTGGACGAATCATAATCGTCGATTATTATTCTAATTAAATTGATCTTGGAGTACAAGATTTAGAGAACTAAGATCTAGATTTCGATCTTTAAAGGTTAGAGTATAGTATTATGTCCGAAAGATAAGTCAATTCATGGTCTGAATAGCGTTTTCATACTTAGGGTATGCGGTACCCTTGATTTTACCATGGGTACCGTAGAACTCCCCATATATATATATATATATATATATATATATATATATATATGTTCGCCATCTAATTGGCGATCGTGTTGAGCACACTACAAGAAAAATCGTCTATAGAAACAAAGGAAATTTGTCTCTACAATACACTTATTTGATTCTATATCTCTTTAGATACTAATTATGCATTTGTCTCAAGTAGTGCTGTTGCTATAGCCCTATAGAGACTGATATAGATGCAGATATCATATGTAGCTGAGTAGAGATATTGCTACAATTATTTTTGTCTCTATTATCTCTTTTAGATTACTGTTATTCTGTCTTTGTATATCGTTTTAAAGACACAAATATATGTCTCTAAAATGACTATTGGAGATAAATATGTTTGTTTCTATAATTGGCTTATGGAAACATTTATATCTGTCGTAAACTACATTTTGTAAGACAAAATTATCTGCTTCTAATGTTACTTTTGGAGACAAAAAAATTTGATTCTGAAATGAAGCTTTTGAGACTAACATATGCGTTTAAATAACCCTTGGGTGACATATTCTTTTGTCTCTAATACTGTTTATATGTGTAAATAAATTGTTTGAGAGATGAGTCTCGTGTGAGCATTACATGTATTTCTAATAATATTTTATATATCTTAGTATTAGTCTCTAATGAGTACATATGTATAAAAATAAATTTATTTTCAAATTTTCTTTTCAATTTATTGAATCCGAATCTAAACAGAAAACAATATAGAATAAATAAATATGAAAATTAAAAAACTGAAACAATATCATTCATGAAATTAAATTTCATAATATTGAAATTGTATAAGCCTTATACCAACAAAGTCGTAGGAAGAAACAAAAATAAAATTCATATGCTAGTACTGTAAAGTCATTCTAGCAACCAAAAATAACTTTCAAAAGACTAATGCTCTTATTAAAACTAATTCCCGTGCCATAACTAAATTGTTCTAAAGTCTTCAAACTGTTTGACCATTTCTTGATGTTGATGTGACCTGTTGCAAGAAAAGTAAGGAAAATTAAGGATTTATTTCTCATACAACACTTTACTAACAGATTAGCAAATACAGTTAACTTACTAAGGAAGATGGCCAAGCAATACTCCTTCCAATCACATCTCCAATCGTTTGATAGCTCCCATACGGTCGTACTAAAGGTTCATCACTATGAATCGTGACTTGAACGAATACTTCATAAAAACCACGACCCAACTCTTGCCCGGCCACACGACCCTTTGGATCTTTAGTTAGGATATTAGCATATGCTACATCAACGCCGGGACTTAACAAACTCTTTATCATAACAAATTCTAGTTCCTACATTTCAAAATTTTGAGATTTTAAATGCAATCGAAATAACACTGAAAAAGTTGGAACTAACATGATTCTCATCAATTATGTTTTACCTGAGACTCGTGACCAATTGCAGCAGCTGAAGAAACTTGCTCAGTTCTTTGTTGACTAGAGGAATCAACATTTTGAGAAGAATTCAATGCATAATCCAAAAATGAGAATGTCCTATTTTGTACCTGCATGATAATTTATGAAGATAATAATATACATTAGTCCCAAAGCAAACAAGAAGGATAAAAATCAAACAAAACAAATTAGTCTGAAGAAAAGAAACAAGTTAGTGGTATAATCAAAAGCTTGGTTGACTCCACGGTTTGTCTATCTATACTTGTTTAATAAAAGCCCTTAACTTTGCATGACCATAATTATTATCATATGAAGGAATGTAAATTAGAATGAATAGAACATAGTTAGGTAGAAGCAATGTCCTTGAGCAAAAAGTATAAGTTAACAAATGATAGAAAGACGTCATACCATTTGTGAAGAGTTGTTTCTCGCAACTGTTGTGCCTGTTTTAGAAGATAAGCCTTGATGATGAGGCAGATAAGTATTGAGAATATCATTTGGTGTGACCTAATATAATCAGAAACAAAACATATACATTGTAAATTAAACTAGTTATAAAGTAATCATTATCAATTGAAAATAAATAAATTGATATTTACATCATTCGATTGACTTTCCAATCTCGATATAGGTGTATGTTGCAGCAATTGAAGGAAAGAACCACTCTCTAAGTTCTCTTCTTCCTCATATCTAGCAGGACTCATACCATCTCCATTACTTTGTGACCCAGTATTTAGATGCTCCTATAACTCAGAAGAATATGATTATCAAAATGAAAACCATCTCAAAATATTGCAGTTTGCTTGATTAAGAATAGAAAATTACCTGGTTTGTTGAGTCCAACATTTCATTGATACTCATACTTGGATGAAGTTTTTGTAGCAAGCTCATGATTCTTTGTTGTCCTTCTCTAACCTCATGCAATTCCTCTTGTACCTTTTCTGCTTTCTCTTCAGCATTTCTTTGTGCCTCTAATGCTTTCTTGATTATTGATACACGAGAATTCTTCACTCCCAAAGATGCCCCTAATCCATATGTTCTTGAAGGATTATACTTGTCTTCACCGAGTGCTTGTGATAATCTATCATGCGATCCAGGACTATCATGACAAGACGGCTCATTTATTTTTTCCTAGAAGCATATGTACATTTTGGAAGTCATTGTCTACTAATGTCATGATTAATAAAAAGTGCAGTGTTAAAATTATTGATTATGCATATATGTACTCAATTATATAATACTTACAATAACTTGGGCCACTTGAGCATTCAATGGAGTCCCGTTCTTACGCACATGAGCAACAACATAAACCTGAGCTGGAGTTGGCTCTACCTTATCAGGTGTAGACTCTGCCTGTAATGTTATCCATAAATGAAAAATGATAACTTAAAATGCATTTAAGTTCAAAGTATATAGTTCTTTGTACAATTCACTAAAGAAATTGTGAGTTATATTACCATTTCGTCTCTCTTGCAAGCATAACTTTTCGTACCCAAAGTGTGTGCTGATTTCACTTTGCTCCTGTTTTCCTTAGCCACAATTTCCCTTCTCTATAATTGTAAACAAGTATACTATGTTATATTGATAAAAACCCAAAATCGTACTAATTAAAACAAACTGAGGATCTAATTAATTATATGAGGCATACCACAGCTTTGTTACTACTCCAAAATTCCAAGAGCCATGTCCAATCATCATTGAGTACTCTTCCATCACGTTCTTTCTTCCCGAACCACCTATTTTTTACTTTATTCTTGAAATTCCTCCACTTGCTGTCCAAGGAACTCATTATCCATGGTTCCACTAATGGATCAATGTCAAATTTTTCCTATATATAAATTAACAACAATCAGTTTAGACTAACTAATGAAATTAAAGATATTATCTAATAAGTGACTGGATACGCATACCTGTACTAAATCCCACATTTCAGTTTTGTAATGAGCGGGCATGTTCCTCCAATCGGCATATCTGAGAGGTGCATAGGCTCCGTTTCTGGCTAAAGTACCCAAAAAGTAGCCCAATTTCTTAGCTTTGCTACCAACTGGTTGGCCATATCTATTGATCCGAACATGAACCTTTTCTCCCTTCGATAAAGCCCAAATCTCCTTGCACCTAGTTGTACCTCTTTTTCTTTTGACCTGTGATGATGCTGTGATAAAAGTATAATCTAAATATAAGCAAATCTTCAGTTTACTCGTAAAAAGAAGCTGTGACTTCATGATTCATAAATGTGATGACCTTTATTCATCTTCTTGTTTTATTAGAATGCCCCTTGCTCAATTATTAGAGTAACAATAATATATGGTTGACAGGTCACGAAGCAACCAAACCAAATAAAGATCAAGCCTGTAATTGAATTCGACAACTAACCCAGTAAAGCAAAACATATGAAAGGGAGGTTTCATTAGATTGACAACGCCATTGATGATAATATAGACGAGAGCAAGATAAGCCTACCCGGAATAACACTATCATGATTTTGATTAGAATCATGAACCCCCCTTTGAATCGAATGAGATCTCGAACGAGTCATAATCTGTTATAAAAATTTAAACCGATTAGAATCAAAGACTAGCTTTGATGAGTTTACTACTTGGAGTGTGACAATCAATAACGATACCTGTTTTGCTGCGGCTTCGGATTTCAGTCGACTAAGCCACAAGATGCGGCTTCTTCACTTCTCTGGTTTACCTCCTTTGAGACTCTTGTTATCGGGATTAAAATAGATGGACAGAGGGACGTGACTCCGCCGGGAGTTATTAGGGTTTTTTTTGGTGATTGAGTTTGAAAGTTTTCCTTAAGTCTTTCCCGCTGCTTTTTTCAGTTTTTAATTCTTCAAAGTTTTCAAGAGCCCGCCAGTTTCCAAGAGCCCGAACGAGTTATTTGATCACTAACATAATAAGGCTTCAATAAGCCTTTTTTCCAAACGACATCGCATGTATTTAAACTTTGTTGACGTCAAAGAAAATTTAATTAACCAACAAAGAAGAAGTTCATAGATAAATAAATAAAATAAATAAAGTAAAGAAGGAAGGGATAAGTGGCGTTACTTTAATGTATTAGGGACCTTGATTTTTTCTTAAACGTGTGGTATATGTCTGCTAATCATTTGTCTCTAGAATATATGGATAAAATATAGAAGGTTGTTCATAATAATTCGTTAAAAATGAAATTGGGAAAGTTAGAAAATAACAATACTAGAAACAAATACTAATATCTATTGAGACATATTTTCTATTTGTCATCTATAATGTATTCTAACGGCATAAGCTAATATTTATAGAGACAAATTATGCATTTGTCGTATATAAAAAACTTTTAGAAACATATAATTATCTTTATAGAGACAATTAGTATATTAGTCATATAAACTACATTTTAAGAGACAAATATAATATATGTCTCAATATTTAGTCACTATAGCTCATTTTTCTTGTAGTGGCATAACCATAAGCAGACACATGTTTAATAGCTGAAACTATCGTGCCTCAAAAGAACTGAGGACAGGTCAACAATTTAATCGTATTTCTTATAAATATAAAATGTTGTATATCCTACAATCTTATTCCTGTATTTCATGTCGAAACGACCACAAATTCGACTTCCATTTTAATCATCCCTATCCATAACCGAAGCATGAAATACAAATAAAAGTGTTGGTTATATACAAAAATGCAATCTAGCTAGGATTGGTTGTGGAATTGAATACAAGCTAACTAACTAGGTAGTGAATTTAAATGGAAGGAAAACCACATGCACGTCAGCGCCGGTGGAGGGTGACAAGGCGGGGGTGCATGGGTCCGACGTGTCGGCCGCGTATGCAGTAGTAGTAGTTTTTAATGAGATGATGTGACAGACAACGCGGATCTGCCGCCTCCCTTCCACGTGGACGTCCACATCTGTGGTCTGACGTGGCAAGTCCGGAAGGTGAAGTGGGCAAGATCACGAGGTCCGGCGTGGGCTTTTTCCCGGCAAAGAATTACACACTTGGGGCCCCGACCACTGTACCCTTGCAAGAAGAAACGCCTAATCCGGCCGGTCGGGTTGCCATGTGATCACCGTCGCCAAGTTGCTGATCGAGAGACAACAACCCCCTCTGCCTCAAGCAGTAGAATGTGTTGGATCTTATTAATTAGGGTTTTTTTTAGACGACGGTGATATTAGTTTTGTTTTGTTTGTTAAAGTGTTATTTAAAAGATCGAATCAGGAACTTTCGTGTTGAAGCCCAACGATAATACCACCAGTCAATTAAGTCGTTGTTTGATGGATCTTATTAGTTTAGAGTACTTTAGTGATGAGGCCGAGTTAGCCTCCTGATGTAGAGATAAAAACCCGAAAGAGAAAGAAAGTGAAAACATTCACATTCTTACTTGTAGATACATTGTTCATCGCGTAATTCAATGCAAATTGTCCGCAAGAGTTTATCTAGTATTTAAAGCATTTTGATTGACTACTATTTTAATATCGTATAAGAACACATATAAAGAGTTAATGTTGGGGGGGGGGGACTTGTGTAGAGTTACATACACTCATTTCATGATGTGCATTTTGCATACCATAGCGCTTCAAAATCTTCCAATCATCCATCTTGCATTGTCCAAATTCAAATTGTTAACGAATGCACTCAAATTATCCTATGTATGATGATTCATATTTCCTCCAAGTACATTCAAACCTTCAATTCAAAATGAATTGTGATAAGCAAACCAAATTTTCCGTCCTTAAATCATGCAAACTGAGAGGTTATCAAATAATAGTAAAGTGAGCTTGAATATTTCTATTCCTAGCTATATATAAAAAAAAAAGCTTGAATGTTTATATGTTCTACGTACGTTCAATTAAAATAAACATACTTAATTGATTATGATCAACTTGATTATCTACTAACAACTAATAATAATAATATACAAAATGTAACCCTAAAAGAAGTCTCCCTCATTCCGTTTTATTTGGTGCTCATCAGTGGATGTTAATTAAATCAGTCCATCACATTATTCATTACCCGAAAAGAGCAAAGGGAAACACCTTTTCGTTACCATGTACAGCTCAAAAGTCAACTATTAATGGCTTAATCATATCTATAATATTGGATATTAGGCACGAGCACTCTGGCTAGCCAAGAGCTTAGCCCGACAAAAGAAGCACCATATTGCGTATGGCTCTGTGGCATTATCTACCCTTTTGGAGGAACCAATTAGATCTAGACCAATAAACTAATTTAGTAATTAGTTAGGTGCTAATAAGAACAAGTATATAAAAAGAAGTGATCTCCAAACTAATGGCCAAGCCATGTTTTGTGTTGCTATGTTGGGTTAATGTCTGATCCCTCAGAGGCAGCAAACCCTTAATATATGGGTTTTAATCTGTTTTCTACGCCATCCAATCCATGCAAGTTGGTCTAATCGCTTAATTAATTACCCCCACCATAAGGCTAATTAAGGGTAATTAGGTAGGTGAAGCTACAGAACTAAATGGTGCCACGAGGCTACTATAGCTATACATCTATGTTGTTTGGGACATTGGCTAGTGTTACATTATTTATCATTCTGATATCGACCCGCCATTACTATTGTTTGCTATAATGATGCATATCCACAGCAACGTGAGAGAAATGGAACAGAAGTAATTGCTCCTTGGTAGGCCACTTGTTCATGCATGGTGGGCACTAGTTCCTCCAATGAAAAGTGGTTACATTCTAGTTAGAAATCGGTTTGGGGGTAGTTCGATCTAGTTAGCTAGACAGTTAGTTGTTAGAGCTAGGGTTAGTTTGGTTCGGGTTAGGAAACCGATTCACGAGTTGTTAGGTTTAGTTCATAGCTGTTAGGTCAGTTCATCGAGCGACGAGATTCGAGGTCAATAAGGTTTGAGTTTCCTAGCTATGTAAAGAGGTTCGTCTGCTTATTAGGTCGCCGATCAATCAATAGAGCTTTTGTTTCAAGGTTTTTTAGTAACGAGATCCGTGGTTGTCCGACCCAGCCGAACCATAGAGCTTCGTCATCTTCTGATTGAACACTACCACTGTTGGAACTTTCGAGTCCATATGTTCTAAAAACTTGGTTTTGAGACTCGCTATGCATGCCATGATGGATTTAAGTTGTGTTTTCATGTCAAATTGAAATTATATACATATAATCGAAATTATTAACGGACGAATGAGAATCAAGCAATCACATGTTCAACAAAGGATTTTCGTATGAACATCCCCTCCCTATTACCTGAGAAGCTCAGACTTCAACATGTCATATTTTTCTCATAACTGTTAAAATGCTACAAGTTTTTCGATTTGTCACTTGTATTCACACCCCTTTTGTGTCAAGAAATTTGTTTCACCCATGTTACCATGTTGGCTCAAATTGGAGTATTGTCCCTCTCTCATCACTTGCCTTCAAAATATAGTACTCCCATTACAATATGGGATCCGATGTTTAGGGTACTAGTAGGATATATATATGGATTACATGTACATGGAGAGAAACAACCAGCTAGCGCTAGCTACAAACACAGTTTCAGGTGGCCATCCAGCTGAGAAGTCAGAAATGAAGACAAGGGGGGAAATTTTGTTTATCTTTCATGGCAAAGGAAACATGTAAGTGATTGAGGGCCTTAGACAATAACGAGTAAGAGCCCATCTCTTATTTGATGAGATCGATCCAAAAGCAGAAGCAAACAAGCTAGGTCTTCTTTGGTCGAAAACCAAATGAAGAATTTTTTTTTTTGTTTTGTTTTGTTTTGTTTTTTTTTTTTGCATGAGGGAAGATAGAGGAGGCAAAGACACAAATTTTAACTTCCTAATGATATTTTGTGATACAAAATTTTCCTCTTTTGACATTTTGTTTAACATTAATACAGAGCTGTCTAAGTAGCTCTGTTTAGACTAAAGAATTAAGTCAGTGAATACTTACAATATTGACGATATAACATAAATTATACACAAATCAAAATTATCGATTTGTAACTCTTATATCTCTACCACATTCCTGTAAGACATGACTCCAATTTCGAACCGAAGAAGCAACCGAGTTGATTGGAAGGGATTTTGTAAGTGAATCAGCAAGTTGTTGCATGGTTGGAACAGACGAACTTAGAATCGGCCGATTTGAACCAATTGGCTGACAAACCGATAATCTCTAAAGCTGGATATTTCATT